ATTTATTGTAGCAATGAGGTCTCGCTGCCCAGGCGGGTCTCGAACCCGCGGGCTCAGGCATTCCACTCACCTCAGCCTCCCAAAGGCATCGGCTAATTTTTTGATTTTTACTGTAGAGATGAAGTCTCGCCAAGTTGCCCAGGTGGGTCTCGAACCCGCGGACTCAGGCAATCCACTCACCTTAGCCTCCCAAGGCACGGGATTACAGGCTGAGCCACCGAGCCCGGCTCTAAAAAGGATTTAAAACTTAACAAGTCATCGATAACACAGAGGTTAAATCATGTGCCAAAGATCACCAAGTTAATTGAGCAACAGTGTAGAGACTCGATTCCAGAAAGTTTGACTTAGACCAGTTAACTGTCTTGCAGCTAACTTTCCAACTCAGTGTAAAAAGTACCAAGTATCACTGTCCTCTCACTTCAGCCCCTTGATAGACTTCCAAACAATGCAACCTACTCAGCTGAGCATCTATTAGGAATTTATTATGTTAGGGTCTTATAGAGAGTGAAGGGAGATGCCAAACCATAGATGCCAACCACTTTATAGAACTTACACTTTAGTTAGGAACAAGTCAAGAAACCACTAGAGCCCACAAGAATATTCAAATGAGTGTTAAGATGGAATGAGGTAAGTAGTCAGAGATCTGAGGCAGATTTGATGCACAGAGGTCCCGGAGAAATAGAAAACTGGATAGCAAGAAATAATAGCAAGCTCTAGCTTAAAGGGGAGGATCTGACATGGCAAGAGTCCTTCTTTGCAAGACTTGAAGAGCAGCTTCATAGGGAATTTTCCAAGTCCATGGGTCTCTCTCTGGAAATTTTGGAAAGGTTTGGAAAGAAAAATATCTGTCAGTTTGTAAAAGATTGTGTTCTACATTATCTCATTAAGTCTTTGAGTCACACAACATCATTCTACAATCTTCAGTCTTAGGAATAAGACTTTGGCAAATCTATAGCCAATATGTGTAGCCAAAAGAAAGAAAACATGGAAACAATTCGTTCTGAAATTAGAGGTTTTTAACTGAAAGCATTTTAGCATAAACCTAGGCAGTGGTCTCAGTAATAAACATTTTATGTTAGAGAATTCCTTGGCAACCACCTTAGCAATATTTTATTGGCTGAAAATGCCAAATCTAAAACATTTTATAATTGTCACAAGAAAACACTGCCAAGTAACTTAGCTTCTATTTCTCTTACTTGGTATAGCATGTCACTCTAAGGATATGCTTTTCATTTTTTAATATCATGTGGCAGAATGTAATGACTTAGATATAAATATTCATCCCTTCTTTCTTAGCTTTCTCTTGACATGAATAGCAAGTATAATTTATTAATGTTTTCAGCCAATTAATTTCTACCCACAGCAAAGGCGTCTGCTGTTTTAACCTGTGTACCAGCCCTTTCAACACTCTGCCTCTCAAAGCTGCCGATCTGGACAGGCCACACCAAAAAATGTTTAGTATTCTGGTCATTTCCTGGTTAAGCAACATTCAAGTGACTGAAATAAATGGATATTTTTAAAGATGAGTCTCCTTAATTACCTCATTGAAATTTAATGAAATATCTCAATTTACAAGATTGTTTTCACTTCCAACAGCACATGTCAATGAGATATATTCTAAGGGAGGATATATGAAATAAAATACTATACAGAGAGAAACAAACTTCTCTGCACCAGGAAAAAAAAAAAAACAAAATAAAAAGACATTCAAGAAATGCTTTCCTTGTGAGGTCTCTCTTGAGTTGCACAACTGCATCTTGTATGTACTTTCTTGCACAGTTTTTATATCAGTTCCTCAATAAGCACTCTGAAAAAAATGTCATGCTGGAGTTATGAAAAGTATCTTGGCTATCTAAAAGTATTACATAAATATATCCCGTGGTGGTGTACAAACTGCACCAGATGTAATTTAAATGGCTAATTAGGAGCAACACTGGTTTACTGAAAAAGAAATGTAGTCAAGAGCAAAAATTCAGAAAGAGAAGATTAAGTTACAAACAGATAATTTCAAGCAAAATAGTAGACTTGTAAAGTCTACGGTTCTACAAAAAATTGAGTTTGATGTTTTCATAGTTTAAAAAACCTTATCTTTGGGTGTGTATATATTGAAAAAATGAGGATTTTTGGGATAATCAAAGGCATTGGATATTTATCTTTCTAGATATGGCATTCCACATTGGTTTTTGTTATATGATCTTCAATGTAGACATCTGAAGCTTACTGTTTTTAGTCAACACAAGTCAAAATTTTGAGGCATTTAGGTTTACAAAATATCTCTTTTATAAACAGTCTAAATTCCCAAGAAAAACAAAAAATGACAAGATCGGCCTAAGTAAATTACCACTAACTCCTAAGCCTGTTATATCAACCCTGATCAAGCACTCCACATCTTGGATGTGGAAGGGCTTATGAATTCTCTTTGGTCTCAGAAGTTGCAGAGCCTAAGATATTGCCTGCACACCCAAGAAACTGATGTGA